ATTTTTTTAGTGTTGAAAATATTTTAAATGAAAGTCAGTTTAAGTTTATAGTGAAACACCAAGAGTGTCCAACTTGCAGCTGGCCCACAGGCTACATGGGTATTTGATGACTGTTCTGCTTATCTGTGGTGTTGGATATCATGAAGAGTATGCACAAATCTTTTCTTTTGCTCATTAGCTTTCATTAGTGTTGTGTATTTAATGTGTGGTCCAAGGCATCATATTCTTCCAATATGCTGCAGAAAAGAAAAAAGGTTGGGCACTCCTGAACTAAACAAATTTATGTATTAAAAAAAATATTTAGCAAAAAAATGTAAAAGCTAACTCCTCCTTTTGAATTACCATCACCAAAAAATGTCCTACTCATCCAGTCACGGTTAACCTTAGGAGTCTGGCGTTTTCTAATACAGTTATTTTTAATCGATCAGTTTCTGACTTTTACTTTTATGCAGTGAGTTCTTACACATCTGAGACATACTATTTTCCCACATTTCCAGATTATTCACTGGTGAAAAAATAGGAAGGTACTGAAGGCAGAAAATGACAACTGAATATTAAGTCTGAATATTTTCATGTAAAGAAAATTGATATCTTATTGTAAAATGTTCATTACTGGCAATATAATTAAAAGCACATCCTCCATAATTCTACCTCCAAGAAATATCTATCCATTGTTAATAGTTTATAGTTTTGCAAACTGTTTTCCTCCATGTTTATACTAATGTATTTATGAATTTTTAAACAAGATTTTTACATGTCCTTAACTTAAAAACATTATACAAACATTTTAAAGTAATAGTTCTTAGAAACTAGCCCAAAATAGATGTTTATTAATGACAAAGCAAAGATGCTTCCCTACACTGTAATTGTTCCGCCAGGTAATTTGTCCCTTTGACAGTTACATCCTTATTAATTCTGTATTTTTATGGCAATGCATACTGGAAAGACATTTGGGTTCTGGGGTCAGAGAGGCCTGCAACATGGCAATGCATACTGGAAAGACATTTGGGTTCTGGGGTC